GTCTGGGCGTCGGCGGTGGATTCATCCACCAGTAGTTGCTGGTATGCCTGAGCCAAGTCCAGTTTGCTGAAAACCCGTGCCCCAGCTAGAGAGGCTAAGACATGGCTGACCACCGGTACCGGGTACACGTGATCCTGGAGTGCCTTATTCAGGGTACATTTATAATCTGCGCAAATTCTGACCCCCATTTGGCTTCACTGGTGTGACTATGGGAGTCTCCCACTGGGTGTGTGTCACAGGTTCTAGCACCCCCTGTTCTACAAGGCGGTCTAGCTCTACCTCAATTTTGGGCTTTAGTGCAAACAGGGACTGCCTGACCTTTACGGATGGGCCTCATCACAGTGTCTAGTGCCAGCATAACCAGGGGTCCGGAGTACTGGATGAGCATGCCCTCAAACATGCCCGGGAACTCATCGCATACCGAGTTAAAGTCTTGTAGCCATACTAGATTAATGCCCGTCACCTCAAAACCCAGCGGCCCAAACCATGAAAGTCCCAACAGGCTCGTGAGCCTCCCTTCCACCACCAGCAAGTCTAACAGTCCATCAAAGTCCTTGTACTGCACCCTGAACTTGCCCCATCCCCTGATGGCCACCAGGTTCTTTTGGAAGTCCCGCAGTGTCAGACCCCGTGGCTTTATCAGGAGCGGTCCCCCCCATGGGCAGAACTTCTGTAGGGTTTCTGCTGAGATTATAGAGAAAGATGAACCCGTGTCTAACTCCATTCTACAGGGGGACCCCTCTATTAACACTGTAGCATGCATTTTGTTGGGGGCATCTGGGGGCAAGTTCATTACCTGGTGCTGCTGGTGGTTGACGGTTAGGGTATGTAGATCTGCTGACTGTGGGTGGCCGTCTTCCGTTGCATTCCTCGGGAGTGGCAGGCTCAAGCGATGTGTCCTTGTTTGCTGCAGGACTGGCAAACGGCGTCGTGAAAATGGCAGGCCCTTCGTTTGTGCGCCTCTGCAGCTGGCACAGGATGCTGAGGTGAACTGCTTCTTGGGAGGCGCAGTTGCTGATGCCGGGGGTCGTGGATTCTGCTGAGCCAGGTGGTATACCTGCAAGACTTCCTCCTCGTCCGATGCGTTGGTGGCCGGAGATGCATTTGTGAAGTGGACTGTCTGGCCGTGGTGCTCTTGATGCGATTTCTCGTATACCGTGGCTTCCTTTAAATCCTTGTCCAGGGTCAGGTTGTCATGGCTAGCAAGCTTGTGGTGCAGTTTGGGTTCCTGGAGGCCCAAGATGAACTGGTTCATCAGCATGTCGCTGAGGCTGGGGAACTCGCATCGGGTGGCCACTCGGCGAAGGCCCACCAGGAAGTCGGTTGCAATTTTGTCAGAGCCCTGGAGGCATGCAAAGAAATTGATGCACTCGGCTATTTTTGTTGGTTTTGGTGTGATGTGATCCATGAGTGCCTTCTCCAGCTCTGCGAATGTGGCCTCTCTCGTAGTCTTCGGGGCTATCAGATTTTTTAGTAGCCGGAGTGTGTCGATTCCACAGGAGCTTAGCATTAGGGATTTTTTCTTATCCTCGTCTGTGATGTCGTGGAAGTCAACATAGTATTCCAGGCATTCGATCCATGTTTCCCACTGCTTGGGATGGGCAGCATCGAATTCTGGATGTTCCCCTGAGCAGTAGCCATTACTCAGGCCCCACGTGGTGGAGGGTTGCTAGGAGCGGCGTGAGGCACAGTGACCGGAGAAGCGGGGCATGATGCGATGCTGGACCCGGGGTCAGCGGTGCGGGGCACAGTGTTCTGGAGGTCGGTGCGTGGTGCGGCGCTTGTGTCGGCGTGGGGATCCGGTTCGATCATTCGAAACCCACCTTCATCGCCAGTTTAAAGTACTAAGGCTGATGCATTGAGGAGTGATTTGAGCTCATACTTTATTAAGTTAGGATAACTGGAGATGCTTAGTCTGGCCCACGGTCAGCTTATATCCCTGTGTAAACCACACCCCAAATACACACCTACACCCGTGATACGCTATTTACAGTGCACTGGAGTCCCATAGATCCCTTTTCGGATCCTAGCCCTCTGATAGGTGTGTGCTAGGATCCGTTCGGGCTATTGTCTCTATCAGCAAAGCTAGGACCCTTCGCATGGCCATGTGCGGAACCGACCGCGTGTGCGGTCGTACTCGGTACACAACAGCTATCATGCTGGGTCATGGATGTACTACCTGAATCACAGTCAAACATACATGAGGGGAACGCCTTGAAAAGCACTGGTTGGCTCAGCAGTCTTAAGAAACACTGTGGGGAGGGGGAGAAGAAGCTTCTGGTTTCCCTCCAACCCTGCTTTTGCCAGAGGAAATGGTGGGAGGGGGGGTTGCCCCTTTTCTTTGGCTCTGTATATTCTTAGGAAACCAGAAGCTATTTCTCCCCCCCTTGCAGTGCTGAGCAAACGAACACTATTTAAGGTACGTTCCCCCGATTTACATCTGGGTGTGAGTCAGGCAGCACACCCATGACCCAGCACGTGTCATCCATTTTGTGTGTTTTGGCCCACAGAACAAACTGCTCCCATGCCTTTAACCAGAGGTTAGAGATGCAAAAAAATCTTCAGGCGAGGTTTCCCAAGGGAGAGAGTTGAACACTGGGCAATTCTGCATCTAGCATTCGCTCCACATTTTCTCAACTGGGAGGAAAAAGTGCAGCTCAGAACCACATTCATCAAATACCACGGGGCAATGCCATACTGATTGCAAAGTCACCCCTGAATGTCTATAAAATGGCCATTAATCTATGCAGACGGTACAATAAAATCCAATGGTCAAAGAAAGTGAAAGTGGCATGGAGTGTGGAGGCTACCATATAATCCGATGATCAAAGGAAGTGAAAGCGGCATGCAATGCAGAGGGGAATTTCTGTTCTAATGTGGTTTTCATAAAACAACGGAGGGAAAAGCCAATGCAGAATCAGCCACTATCTCCTGTCAGTTGCTGAGGCTAGGTAGTGGGATGACATCAAGGGAACAACAACTCTATCCCCCTTCTACATGTTAAGGCAACATGTTAAGAAAGCATTTTTAGCAGGGATTTGTTTAGAAGAGACTACCGATTTTATGCATAGCTCTTTAGGGCATAAGGTGCTTAGCTTTCCCCTGGAAATTTTAAGGGTTTAGGGATGCCAGCCTCCAGGTGGGACCTGGGGATCCTCTAGAATTACAGCTCATCTCCAGACTTCAAACATGAGTTCCCCTGGAGAAAATGGATGCTTTGGAGGGTGGACTCTATGGCATTGTACTCCACTGAGGTCCCTGTCCTCCCCAGGCTCCATTCCCAAATCTCCAGGAGTTTCCCAACCTGGATCTGGCAACCCTACTTGACCCCTTCTCCCACTGGTGGCCACTCTAGGCAACCCTGGGTAGTGATCATGAGATCACTTAGTAACTACAGCCTCACAAAGAGGCCCAGTGATCCCTTATCATTTTTCACCTCTCTGGCAGAAGGAGAATAGTTCTCTGAAGAACTTTTGTTCTGACAGGAAAACTTGAGTCCAAGCTAAGTCTGTTCAAATTCTTTAGTTAGAATGAACCAATGACTCTTTACCAGAAAAGGCCTTATTGTGTTTTAGTTCCCATGCTGGCTACTCAGAATCAGGTTTTTGTTTTCGCCCCTTCCTGGCACTCTCCCTGTAAAGCAGCTGGACAATTTAGCAGGGAAAACTTTTCACTGCAGTTCATGTCCATGCTGAAAAAGAGTTTCACATGCTTAAGTTGTGTCAGGCCACTGCTACACTTGACCATACCTGTTCAGAAGATAAGATACTTGTCCATGCACATGAAAAGAGTATACACTCTGTGAGTTTCCATTTGTAAACCTAAAAAATAATGAAAGGGGAGAACCTCTGAAAGATATGCAGCTTGATTACACAAATGTATTCCAAAGTAAGTCCAAACAAGCTCAGCTGAGACATCAGCTGGGGACAGACGAAGAGTCCAAAGAGGAAGAAACGAAGTCTAGTGACTCTGCTACCTCGGGAATGGAAGAGGATTCTGTGGCAGAAAAGGGTGCTGGACCTGCCAGAGTGGTATACGATTTTAGAGACAGAAAGCCGAAGTAAAGGCAGAAGGACTTGGAAAATGGCCTTTTGAAGCGAAGAATAAGAAGATGATCAGAGACTTCTCTCGTAACAACTAACAAAATAACATATAAATAGCTCATTGTTATAAGCAAGAACTCTACAAGTATAGTGTGATATTAAAACTAAGTGTACTAACATTTTTACTAACAGTGAAAAGATCTCCTCCTCTTGGGGTTTTAGTTTAGTGTGGTTTGCTTTCCTTTATCCTTAGTTGCCGTCCCTTCCCTAATATTTCTTTGTAGTTTTTGTAGTATTTGCAAAATAAAAAAAAAAAAACCCCCCGGGGATTAAAAAAAAAAAAAAGCTCAGCAGGGCTTATTCCCAAGTAAGCAAGCATAGGACTACACAAGGATTCCCAGATCCAGGTTGGGAAACTCTTAGAGACTCAGGAATGGAGCCTGGGGAGGACAGGGACCTCAGTGGGCTGCAGTGCCATAGAATCCACCCTCCAAAGCATCCATTTTCTCCAGAGGAATTAATCTCTGTAGTCTGGAGGAGAGTTGTAATTCCGAGGGATCTTCAGGTCCCACCTGGAGGCTGGCATTCCTAAACTTCACCCTTAAAAATGAACTGTAAATAGCACACAGGAGAAACTGATCCTTAGTTGGGTATGTGAATGCAGAGGGCCAGCACTGAAAATGGAGTTGAGTTTTTTTAGCAGAATTAGAAATACCAAGCTATTTAGTCACTAAGTAAGTTCCTTGAAAAGTTGGATTTCTAAATAAACATACCAGGAAATGAAATCCCAGCAAATCTGTGGGATGTACTTCTGAGTGATCAGGCTTACAGTACTTCCTGTTTTGCTTTGCACAGTGCAGAAATCTCATTGTGCATAAAACTTTCTATCTCAGCCCTCTGTGAGTGATGTCATCTTTGGACAGCCTCTTTAGCAACCCTCCCACTCTAAATACTTGGGTAAATAAAAGATACAGTGAAGGAAATCTGTGCTTGAAGTGTCTGCCACGGGGTGGAATCCTGCTCCGTCTGACTTTCTGATCTTAAGACAGTTGTTCTGATCTTAATACATTTGTTTTCTTTTTGAGAAATCACAGAAACACAAAAGAGAAGAGCTGCTCGGAGTTTGCTTTGCCAGCTTTCCACACAAGACCTTTCAGCAAAGCAAAAAGCGACCACACAGGAAGAATCTGTGAGTAGTTTTCTGCTGTATTTTCTTCTGATTTCGTTACTGAAACAAATAGCTCTGATACACAACAGTAGATTGCTGCACAGCCCAAGGGAGGGGACTCAGACTGGTAAATAAGAACCAGTTTGCTAACTGAATAGGGGTGGTAATGAGGAGGCTGTTAGATTCCCAGATGTTGCAAGAGTAGAACAGAGCCAGCATTAAGTTCTCTAATAGTTGGTATAGGACCCCAAAAGATTACAAGCAATGGGGGAGAAAAAGTAGCATTCACTTTTCTTTGGTTTTTTGTTTTAGCAAAACAAAATGAGGGGGCCTATAGAAAAAGTAAAAGGATCATCAAACCCCAAAGGATCTCACAGTAATTCAAATGCCTTCTGAACTATCTGGCTGGTAATCTCTGCATTGATTCTCTGTTGTTCTTTTTGAGATGTTTTGGGAGAAAGCACATGGACAAAAATTGATTCCATTGATAAACATTCCCAGCTGGTGTTCAGGGTCAAGCACAGACTGGGCAGCAGAATAAACACTGCTCCTTTCTGCAAGCTTAGAAGTCAGTTGAGTCAGTCCCAGGGCTATTTTAGGTAAGGTGGAGAGGCTTCCCTCTTTTCTTCTTTCTCAGTTGTTTATCTCTAAAGTGGGAGATTATGTAATAATTTACTGAGTTCATTCATGTACAGGATTCATAGCAAACGCAAGCAGCCAATCACCCCCTTTTTACCAGCGATCTCCTTGAGATATTAACAAAGCTGACAAATAGAATTTAAACAGATGACAGCTTTTCTAGCATGCAGACCAGTGACTGCAAAAGTGGCAGTTTATTATGTTGCTACTAAAGGATCGGTAAAATAGGGGACAAACAGAGAGGCTCCAGCCAGGGCCGCCGAAAGAGGGGGAGTGGGGGGGACAAAATTTGGGGGGCCGCATCAGCTGAAGGTACCATGAAGCCAGGGTCATGCTGCATCCACACAAACATCTTTCTATTTATTTTTAAAATGCAGTTCTGGGTGCAACCACTAGGGGTGCAGGGAAGCCTGAGCACAGTAAAAGGCACTCTACTATCAGCTAGACTTGCCTTTCTCCAAACTAGCCTGAGAGATCATGCTGAGTCCATCAACCAAGCCAGCATTGTTGCAAGACAAGTCATCAAGCTGATGGCTGCTTGGGCCCATAGTTATGGTGGGGCATTTTGGGGGCACACCATCTTAATTGGAAGCCACGCCCACAACTCCTGCTGCCAGAAAGCATTTAAAAATATTTATTAAGTCACGCTGACCGGCCAGGCACCAGGGCGGTGGGTGAGCAAGCAGCCGGTTCTCTACCTGCTGACCAAACACCATAGGAGGGTGAAACAAACCACACCAGAGCCCTCCAAAGATGCGCCAGAGCCTCTGCAGAAGAAGGAGGTGATCCCCTGAAGCCTTTTGCACCTATGTGCAAAGATAACGGTCTCCCACCACAGGTCACATGACTCCTCCCCTGGCACAGGAGCACTGAAGAGAGGCAGCAGCCTGTGCCTTCCTGATTAACATAGCAGCCACCAGCCCATAGAGAGCCAGCCGCTTGGTTGCCTCCTGGAGATGAGGCGATTTGTTCAGCGTAGCCTTTGCTTCGGCTGGAATCTGAGATGATGTCTCCAGTGGGCATAGTTGAAAGGGCAAAGAAATCAATGGACCTTAGGGTCTCTGGCAGGCAGCAGCCTTCCTCTTCCTGATTAGCTGTTTGTTTGTGTGTAGTGTGGACCGTCAGTTTAATTAAAATTAATTAAATTTAAATTTAAAAATTAAAATTAATTTATTTGACTGCCCCCTAAGAAATTTAAATGCCCTCCAACGGGGAAAAAATCCTGGCTGTGGGCCTGTGGCTGCTAGAGTAACTGAGCACTGTATAAATAACGCAGATCATGGAGTGCACAAAGGTATGCTAAAGAAAATATATTATAGAAATAATAAAGATAACAAGGACCACATATATCAGTAAAGTAGTGCCATAGCAAACCTTTGTTAATATTATGAATGGGGGGGGGATTTTAATATTTCCCCGTGATCTAACAAAGTAGTAAGGCTGTTTCCCCACTCCTCCATGCTTACATGCATGGTAAAGGAACATTCATCTGTTTTAGCCATTATACGTGTGGAACAGAAGTTAGAACTCCCAGTTCATGCACTGGATTGTTATGGTTATTACTGTGTTGGTGGAAGATCTAATAGCCCTTTGGAAAGGCTACTTTGCTATATGACAAATGATGTAATCTTTTTAATATTAAAAATTAAACTTGGAATAAATGCCATAACCAGCCTTTCTCTCCAATGTGAACCCAAAGCTTCACTGCTCTCCTGCCCTCCATTTTATCCTCACAGGCTGTTTCCCCACTCCTCCATGCTTACATGCATGGTAAAGGAACATTCATCTGTTTTAGCCATTATACGTGTGGAACAGAAGTTAGAACTCCCAGTTCATGCACTGGATTGTTATGGTTATTACTGTGTTGGTGGAAGATCTAATAGCCCTTTGGAAAGGCTACTTTGCTATATGACAAATGATGTAATCTTTTTAATATTAAAAATTAAACTTGGAATAAATGCCATAACCAGCCTTTCTCTCCAATGTGAACCCAAAGCTTCACTGCTCTCCTGCCCTCCATTTTATCCTCACAACAATCCTGTGAGGTAGGTCTGGCTGAGAGGATGTCCCCCAGCAACATTCTATGGTAGATTGGGGGTATGAGTATTAGTGACACATGACAGAGTGCTTAAAAGCTCTCTTATTACATGTTGCCTGTTGTGAAGACAACCCGGTTCAGGGTGTTCCAGTTCTCTTCATTTTTGGCACTGTAACTTCCGTCATCATTCTGGGATTGGTGGCCAGTTTTCAAGCAAACAGCATTATTTTCTGATATATTATGCCTGCCACAAACAGAGACCGTTAGCTTCCATCACAAATAGCATGGGGAGGTGGTGGTTAGTCCCACCTGGGCTAGGTGCTCCCTCTAAGCTGTGGAGTCTTGCGAACAAAAATTCTACTTTGTGAGCTACTGGCATTAAAGTTGTGAGCGAGCAATTTGGCTACTGCATACTTTAGTTTGCTCTGGAGCCATCTTTCCTGAGCTAAGACAAAAATGTGTGAGCCGGAGGCTAAAAAACTGTGAGCTAGCTCACACTAAGGCTGTGGTCACGTGGTCATTTTGATCGGGTTTCACTGCTGTTCCCTCTTGCATTTAAAATTGCTGATCAGACAGACACTATCCGTCTCCCGCACCAAAGTGGGCTCACTCGTGCAATCCTCCCGGTTCCCAGCGAGTTTTCCTACACCTGGAAAATCAAGTACTTTCTCGATATTTGTGCTTTGAAACTGCGATTTTGCCATTCTGAACAGCCATTTCTTGCAGTGATTGTGATTACGTCATCTGAACAACCTTCTCACAATGTTTTTTTACAAGCTTCCGTCATTGTGCACATGAGCAATCCTGCGCTGAATAAATTCAATGTATAAATGTTCAAGTGCACATATAGACTCCAGCACTCAGTTGTACGTTGCTGGTTAATTTTGTTTGCTGTTGGGGGGGAAGATGTGCAAGAACAAGGGAGTACGGCGAATCCCAGTGGGAGCGGTGATGCGGCCATGTGTATATGTGCATGCGCAAAGCCAATTTTTTTTTTAAACAAGCCGTGCTGCCCAAGCGGCACAGTGCCCGGGGCCTCATTGCACAATGCAAGCGATTCAGGGAGGGATATGTGGTCATCCCAACCCCAAAATTATTCCTGATCAAATCTACACCAGGAACAAATCACAGTAAGCCTGTTGTGTGACCACACCTTAACTCAGCTTAGAGGGAACACTGGCTAAGATATTCCCATGCCTTTCCATTTTGGCCCTGGAACTCCTACAATCATCCTGAACCTGGTGGCCAATTTTGAGCCTCTTAGTTTTATTCTCTGGTGAGTTAGGCCTGTCATTGTGGTGTAGTGGTTAAAGTGCAAGACTAGGATCTGGGATACCCAGGTTCAAATCCGCACTCTGCGAGTGGAAGCCTGCTGGGTGATGTTGGGCCAGTCACACACTCTCAGTCTAACCTACCTCACCAGGTTGCTGTGGGGATAAAATGGAGGACAGGAGAATGAGGTAAGCTGCTTTGGGTCCCCGTTGAGGAGAAAGGTGGGATATAAATAAATAAATAAGTCAATAGCAGATGGACTGACAGGCTGATTATTTTATTACTATAGATTCACAGTAACAGCAAGCCAAATGATTTGTTTTGTTATGATATTTTGTTTGGATTGGGGTCATATGGGGGGGGGGTATTTCTGCAATGACAGCAGAACCTGTGCAATGTACTAGTACCTAGCAGCAGAACCCAGTGCCAACCTACTAGTGCCCAGCAGCAGAAACCAGTGCCATTGTGGCAAATCCCAGCTCAACAGGACTGATGTCAAGCACAGAATCACAATCTGGGGAAGGGGGAGGGGGGTTGCAAGATCAGCAGAACCAGTGCAATAGTGCCCGGCAGCACAACCCAGTGCCAGTGTGGCAGCAGTGCAAACCCAACAGAACTCACCAATGTCACACCAGAGAACCCTAGCAGGGCTTCTTTAGAATTTTTTGACAGAAGCAAAGGCAGTAGAAGCTCAGCAGAACACTCGAAAGTGCAGGATGGGCAGGAACTTTTGCTAGCCCACCTGAACCGAGGTCAACCCAATACACAGAAGTGCAGTAATGTTTTGTTTTCTTCCAAAGCCAAGGGTAAACCCAGAGAAACCTTACACACCGTTTCTCCAGGGAAGGCCTTGGAAAGTGAGAGGGAGTGGGTAGTATATGTCCACCCTTGAGCCTCTTCTCTCAGCAGCAGCACACAACAGACCAACTGTCACTGCCTCAGTGGAGGAGCCTTTTAGTCTAGGTGCTGTGCCTGCCCATCACGGCCTCTCCCTTTCCCATCTCCTACCCTTGCAAAGCAGAAGGTTTAAATTAGCTTCACTATTTATGGTGCTCCTGTGGGCTCTGCTGGTTTCCATTTGGCAGACAGATCTCACTATCCTATTCTACCCCTTTCATCTCCATCAAGACGAAGAACAGTTTTTGTGCTGCCGTTGTAATTTCAGCATGCAGGTTTAGTTTGGGGTGGCTGGTGACTTGTGACTTGTGAGCACACCACCTTCAACATCGCCCTGTGCTGCACTGCTACCAGGGTTCTGTAGAGGTATTTTGGTACAGCTGGATTTAGAATGGCAGTGGGGACATTTCTGTGCCAATTCAACTGGCTAATGGCCGTGCTACTTCTCTCTAGTGTCTTATTTTAATTTTGGGAAGATTGTTTCACCCCAACTACCCAGCACAGACTAAGAGAAGATACAGGCACAAGTATGTGCTGCCTTCAGTCACCCTCAAAGTCCAGGAAGACCAGCTGCTCAACTGTCCAGGGGAGCAGGTATGAGCTATGTGGGCTGACAATGTCACCCGCATGGGAGAAAATCCGTTCAATCTGAACACTTGTTGGAGGGCATGAGAGGAGCCTCTGGGCCATGGCAGAGAGGTCTGGCCAGACTGCCTCCTTCATGGCTCAGTAGCTCAGCAGAGAGGTGGCCTGTGCTTCATAGGGCTTCGCAAGGTACTCCCTTTCCATCACAGCCACTGTGTCCAGTGTCATGTGCCCTCTGCTCCCAGAGCGGCCGAACATCCACCCAATGACTGCTATCTCACAGGTCATCATGGCAGTAGCTGCAGGGAGAATACTGCCTAGCAGGTGAGGTGGGGTGAACAGCAGCAGAGCTGATTTTGCCTCCCTCTTCCTCAGTTCATGCTAACATGTCCCTCTTGGCCTGTATGCACTGAACTTGCCAGGAGAGCACATCTCTCCAGCGATGGAACTCATTGGCCTGCTCAGCAATCTTGCCCTTGATATGCGGGTCATACATGCTCACCAACATGTAGATCTTCTGCTGTGTTCGAGGCTGAAGGCGGTCCTCGAGTCCATCTTGCAGCCCTTTCACCAGTGTGTGCACTGGAAACACATCTGCATATTCTGTAGCTGGATCCAGAAATGAGGCCAAGTCCTCACAAGCCATGTGGATCATGGGGATGACCAGAGCCAGACTTGCCATGTCAGATGAAAGCATCTCTGTGTAGTTCTTAAAGGGCCTAAGAACTTCCACAGTCTGAGAGATGGTCAATCAGTCCTTGCGGATGAGCCATCTCTCTTTCCGAATGACTCTGGTCTCAGAGATCAGGGCAGTCAGGCTCTCTCCTGCTCCACCAAGTGCTCAGCAAGGCACAGATAGAGTTACAGCAAGTGCTCACATCACCGATCAGGCGGTGCTCCAGTACGCCTGTCAATGTCTGCTTCTCATGCAGCAGATGTGTGTCCTTCATACTGTGAGAGAAGTGACCGACGATGTACCAGCATTTCTGGAGGAGATGCCTGAGCTCATGGGTCTCAGAGTCCAGACTGGGATTCTCTGCAGGACGCTGCCCCAAGGCATCCTTAACCACCAGGTGGAGAAAGTGGGCCATGTAGTAAATGTGCCTGAGGCCCAATACCTATGCTGCTGACCTCATGTTCCTGCCACTGTCAGTCACCATGAAGCCCATGGAGAGGTCCCTGCCTACCCATGCCACTAACAGGCTTTTGATGGTGGCTGAGATGTTATCCACCACGTGCCGCCCACTGAGTGCCTCAGCATGGAGCAGAGCCTGGCAATAGCCAGCCTGGCAGCCCTGACCCTG